CGCCTTCGAAGCCACTGACAGCCCCGTATGGTTGCTGTGTAATGAACTATCACTACCCGTCCTTAGCTTCAACTTTCCTGCGGCTTCTTCGGCAGTTTCCCTGCTCTTATCAACCATTTCTGCTGGCGAGTCTTCAGCCATTTTCCCGTTCACTTCCAACTTTGAAAGATGGCACTCTGCATCATGCTCATCAGAATCAGGAATCTTCTGTGTGGATTCTCTGGTCTGCATGAAACAATATTGCTCAGTTAAAATTTGATGAAAACATAAAACATTTATGTATAATTAGAATCCATGTATTGGCTTCACCAATAATTCTTACCTCATTAATGGTTGACTGCACTTCATCTTCTTTCCCAGGGGTTGGTTCTCTCAGATTGCTATCAGCAACTGGATTCATCTGCAAACGGATTCTTCTGGGAGCAGTGCCCTGAGTTACAGATTCATCTGACTTTAATGGTTGTTGAGGCTGGCGGGCCTTGATCCTGATTCCAGTTATACCAACAATATCCGAACCATAGTTGACAGAGTTCTTCCTACTGGTTAATTCTTCCTTATTATTGATTTTCGCATGCTCTTTCTCCTGTTCATCAGAGGTATGACTCTGCTGTATGGCTTCTCTAGCCTGCATGGAACAATCAGAATTAAATTTTATAATGCACATAAAAAAAGTTAATAATCTGGTTTCACAAGGACCCTTACGTCAGTATTAGTTGATTGTACTTCATCTTCTTCCACATCATCCCTATCTCTCACATTACTATCGACAACTGACCCAGTAGAAATATTCATCTGGAGACGGATTCTTCTAGGAGCAGTGCCCTGAGTTACATAATTTTCTGAATTTGATTGTTGTTGAGGCTGGCGAGTCTTAATCCTGATTCTAGTTCTACCAACCTGATCATAACCATGGTTAACAGAATCCTTCCTACTGGAAAATTCTTCCCCATTGTTGAATATTGCATGCTCTTCCTCCTGTTCGTCAGAGCTAGGACTCTGCCGTATATCGTCTCTAGCCTGCATGAACAATCGGAGTCAAATTGATAAATGCACACGCAAAGACTCATTAAATTAGCTTCGCAAGGACACCCTTACCTCAGTAATAGCTGATTGGACTTCATCTTCTTCCTTCCTATAGTTTGCATCACCCATGTTGCCATTGGCAATTGACCCAGATGAAGGCTTGTCCACACATAAAAGGAGTCTTCTTGGAGCACAGCCCTGATCAACAAAGTTACCCGAATTTTGTAGTTGTTGAAGATGGCGGGCCCTAATCTTGATTGCAGTTCCACCACCATGATCACCACTGTGGTTATCAAAATTCTTCCAACTGGTAGATCCATCCGAACTATTGAACGTATCATTTACTGAACTCACAAGAAACTGCTCAGCAAATGCGGAAGGAGGAAAATAATTGTCAGCCATATTTCCCATTCTAGGTTTTTGGTTATCCAGCGATGCTTGAGCTTCAGCTTGGTAATAACCCAATGAGGTTTTCTGCAGCAGATCCTCGGCATCAAATTGCTTGCTGTACAAGCCAGAAGCTCTCCCTTCCTGATCATGCTGGTGCACAAGAACAAAACAACAGCTTACAGTCAGACTTCATCTTTAAATATACTAACCATACAAATTTATATGATAAATAACATTCAATAAGCAGGCTTGACAGGACAACAACCAAGAATACCACAATTGTGGTGGGTTACAAGAAAGAAGAAGATTATTCTTTTACCCATACCTGGGCAATGTTGGTGTCTGTGTTATCCCATGCACCATTGAGACATGAGTTTCCTGGTGGTGTGGTCTGTAGCATGCATGACTGACCAGATAGATAGGTCTCGTTTCCAACCACCAAGTTCTTCTGACTCGTTGACTCCTCACAGGAACTCTCATAAGGGTTAATGCCGAACTCATCCAAAAATTCTGGGAAGGCTACATCCTGTTCACATGTGCCATCCTGAAAATGGAATCCATTATTGTAAATGCCAAAGTCACTGGTAAAAGGTGAACCCACGTAATGTTCTAGCTCTGAGTTAATCAGCGATTGCAAAGGTGAAAAGACTTTGCAATCAATCTGGCCGCCGAAGGGTTCATCGAACACTTGATTTTCTTCCTTTAGGAGATGCCCCTACAGTTGAGAAGTACAAAACCACAATATTTGGTCACTGAATTATTCATATCTATAAAATTGTGTAAAGTGATAGGAATAGGATTACAGACATGACCAAAAATACAACAAAGAATTGGCATCTTACCTGGATGCCTGTTTCTTCTGCTCCAGGATCTTCCACATCCGAGGCCATATAACTGTCACCAGGTACCGGAGGCAGAGCATCAGGGCTCATGTTATCAGATTTATCATTCCACCACCTCATGATACTTTCTGATTGCTTTTCACCTTGCATATCAGGTGTAGCTGTTTCCTGAACTACATCTGAGGATGTCTCGTCAGGAGAATACTTAGTTGTGGTAGGAGATAAGCCAGTTTGTTCTACTTCATCATACTTTAGTACATCAGCCTTCTCTTCTGGCTTATGGAACAAGCGACACAGAACAAAGGCACCCTGCATCACAGAGACATAAACACATTTGTCAGAACAAGTATGAACTCATATCAATTCCAGGACACACCAATTTCATAATGCACACAATTTCCATGCCATTAAGTATATGCATACAAACAGAAGGCAAAGAAAGCAGGCATTCTGCACTTTAGTGGGAGAAAGGGACCAAGGGAATACCTGCCCAGGAGCAGTGCCATCAAGGTCCTTCTGAGTGGCACGATACTCATGCATGATCCAGCTGGTGCGCTCGCCCCTGGGAGCGCGACCTCTGTGGAAAACCAGGGTCTTCTTCATCCCAACTTGGCCAGTGCTGTTGGAGGCAGACTTGCACTGGCGGGACTTGATGGTCCTGTCCTTACCAGTGGCCTTCCAGTAGCCAGCATCAGTGGCTCTGTTAGACCTATGGCCATTTGGGTATTTCCTATCCCGGGGGCAGAAGAAGAACCATTCTTGATCATCTGACTTTATCACCGACAGCTCTGCGCAGGCACGTCAACATATACACTAATTACACTCCGTGCATCTACAAGCTAAAGGCTTCAGGCTTCATAATTACTACTATATTCAAATTGGTTAATTAAAAAAGGATTATTATTTATAATTATCATGATCAGAGTAGGATTACGCAAGGAATCTAGATAATATAGTGACGAATTATTCATGGTGATGTAGAGAATAAAGGAAAATTCTCAGTCCAGCCAGTCATATATTCTCATTCAGAAATTCCGAAACCCCAAATAAACAAAGAAGCAAGCAAAGACTATAAATTTTAGCTCAAAAGCCAAACAAAAACTAGAGAGAGTGACAGAGAGATAATTACTGGGTAAATCCCAAGGCTCCCATTTGCAAACGTCGATTTCGGGGATCACTTGGACCTCGGAATTACGACCGTTGATCTTGAGCTTTAGGTAGTGGTTGATGAGCTCTTCGTCCGTCGGTCTGAACCGAAACCCTAGAGGTAACGAATCCATTGATAAAACCGCCATGTCTGATCAGTGATCTTCTTCGTCCCTCACTTTCCCAATTCTCAGAACTACTTTGAAAACCCTAATTCACAGAAGATAAATAATTAAAACTACAAGATTTGAGCTTTTGAGTAAAGATGACTAATTGGTTCTTGCTTCTTCTTCTCTCCTTTCTTTTTCTTCTTCACTTTTATGTTTACGGAAAAATGGAAACAACGTGCGCTGCTTCCTCATGCTATCTCATAACAGTCACTCGCGAACTCGCTTTTACCACACTTGGCACTACTGGTGGACTGAGTTGACCAAATGCCAGACCAGCTTCTCATTGGCCGGATTTATATGATCATACGTGGCTGCGTAGCAGAGGATCCCACTTAGCTGAGCAACGTAGCGCTGCGCTTTGAGCCGTTTGACTATGCCGCGCAAGTGGAAAAGCTACAAGACACCACGTGTCGCCCGTTCTCAAGCTGTCGTGCGATGCAATCCCAGTCCGTACTGTCTTCTTTACCTTTTTTCTTCTCTTTTTCATGTCCTTACTTTTATATTTGATTCCTCCATCAAATTCGCAGCTGAAATTATTGTTTGTCGCTGATCTCATGGTGAACATGTGTGCTGCGTACAACGCAATAAACATGAGAATTTGATCAAATATTAGCTTTTTATCGGGAAAAAAAAAAGACAAAACATTTCAATCCTTAAGAATAAGGTATTTGTCACGATTCGCCAGACCAAACAAGCAAGCAACCAAGCATGGCAAGTGAAACATCACATGTCACCCTTCCCCCTTTTGTCTTGGTGATCATAAGATTCTATTGACAAGTTGTAATCATGTTCATTTCACGTTTTATTTTGTAAGTACGAACCATTTTGCCCTCTGGTTATAGCGGGAGAATAATCTTATGAAGAGATATACCATAAGGAATTGCTATGGTTAGTCACCAAGCTTAGTAAAATGATCCATTGTATTTACGGATGTATACATTACTCATTAATTTGCAATTGACAAAAGTAAATTACAAAATTCCGTATGCAATTACAGAACGTAATTTTCGTGTAAAATCGGAGGACAAAAACGACAAGAACAAAAGAAAAAACCGTGCTTAAGTATACGTCTTCGCATTCTTTGGGTGCTAATTATTTTATTATAGTCTAAAGTCCAAAAAGTATCACAAATCACAAACTCCAATGCATAGGGAAAAGCCTGAGAAAAGGATCGTAGTCCCAAATAAAATGTCGCCACTTGCCACCTTTAATAAAAGTTATATTCTCGGCACTGCGGCACATGAATATATATCGTCTATGTCTGTAGGTTTTGTAACATAATGCAAAGTCTTGTTCAAACCCCAATGACATCCCACGACTTCTCATGCCCTTGGTCGGCCGCCCCATCCTTTCACTCCATAGTAGCCTAAATTCTAATTATTGGACTTAAGTGATCATCAACCGTTAATGTATTGTGTTGTTCATACAATTCAGATCCTACAAAGCATCAACGGCTCATAATCCGCATAATTCTAATAAGATAATATGGATGTGCAGTTTAAATAACAACTTTTCAAATCAACTAATAAAATTGAAAATGGTACATTGGAAAGAGGTAATCAGCAATGGTGCCCTAAACAAAACAAACAACAAAGTAAAAATTATACACCTCATGCCATAAAGTTTAAGTTCCACTTCTACATATCTTGTTTATTTACAGCTTTACCTACAAAGCAGGATGGTAACCAAGAGGCACATTTGTGTCCACCCTCTGCACAACTCTCCTCAAACTCCACTGGTGGAAGAATTCCAAGATAAGTCTCAGTGCAGTTCCAAGTCCAAGAACCACAATAATACCTGCACATGTAACAATGTCTCTTACAGGTCACAGTTCAACAACTAACACCACCAAGCACACTAGTTTCATTAGGCACAAACATACCTATAATGATGTTAATGGGGAGTGCAGAGACACCGAGGGTAACGGATATTAGCACGTCCAACAGCAGACCACCAATGAGGATTGAAAATGCCACATAAAGTGGGCTAACACAACCCTGCTGACCGGTGCATGTGAAATAGTAGAATCAGCAAGTATCTTCATAAAACTTAATACAATTCTAGTAGATTGATTAGTGACCGCCTTACCCTGTCTCGATTTTGTGACCGATAGGTTGAGTCAACTCTCCAGACCCAGTAGCTCCCCTGCTATGCCAAACACACTGAGAGTTAAACTTTGACATGATATGCTTCCATGTTACCACACAAAAAATGGGTAATGGCACTACCATAAATCTATGCTCAGATCAGATGTAATCATTCTACATTCTGTTTTCAGTCATACTGGTAATCATAATACTCAATTATCTCTTGTATCTAAAAAAAGACGGTTCCATGGCTGAGGCAATTGGGTTTGGAGCACCACTCCAAAAACCAAAGTTTTAAAAGATAAAGATATGATAAACTAAATGGCTAAATTAGAAAAAATGGATAACGTAATGAGTAAGATTTTTGGATATTGAAAGACTTTGAAACTTTCCAGCTTCAACTTCAAACTAGATAAACGAATACACTATATTACAAGAAGTTGTATAGAATACAATTCTTTAAATATAACATTACGACAAGTTATGGGTTACGCTAATTCGATGCATATATACATACATATTAAGTTACGGGTTGATGAACATGGCAAAGGCTACCCTTTGCACCAAAAGGTCCAGAGTACATACAGTTGGCTGGGATTGTGGAGGTGGCACATTTGCAGCTACCCCTCTGCATAAAAAGATTATATCTTTTTGTAAAGTCCGACTTTAGAAATGAACTAATTTACAAACCATGAATGGAGTTAGTGAGTGAATTTACTGGCATATCTCGCATTTGTTCGATCCTCTGGTTCGAAACCAAGTGTCTATACATGATCTGTGGGATTTTGCAAGCCCACCTCGACATTGACATCCAAGGTCTATCAAAACTTCATCTTTCTCCTGCTGACACACTCTGAGGAACAACAAGCACAACTCTATTTTCTAAACCAGATTCAAACAAACTGCAATTGAAAACAAAAAAAAATCTAGTTATTTTTTATGATTTTGATGCTCACCTGCATTGTTCATGAGAGCTGGAAGTTCTCGACAGGTCACCCTTTTTGGGAGAAGGTACCTCCCTTGACAAATTGGCGGTGGTTTGCTCATGAACCTCGCGAGATGCCTCATCCAAAACGACGACGTTTAGAAGCGGCGGCACCGTATCACCGACTGAGGAATTGGAAAGTGAGCTAGGCTCAGCTCGGCTATCACTCTGCTGCTTCTCCAAGTCGGGTATCTCGCCATTTTCATTCTCTTTCTCACTCCTCATCGATCTCTCGCTGCTTCTGTGCTCGTCACCTTTGCTCAGAACCATAGAGAACCCCCAATTGAATCGAATTTCCAGTTACGCTGACAATTCACATCAATTTCAAAAATTGAGAGGAAATTATTATAAATAAACAAAAAACAAAAAAAAACCTCAGTGGTAATTAGGGTGGTTTACCTCTTGTTCGAACTTCAGTCATAAATCCCACAAGCTCTCAGGCTTTGGCATAACGAGAAGAGGAAGAAGAAGAAACAGTAGAGGACACGAATTTTTGGGGTTTTGCCCCCAATTGAATCGAATTTCCAGTTACGCTGACAATTCACATCAATTTCAAAAATTGTGAGGAAATTATTATAAATAAACAAAAAACAAAAAAAAAAACTCAGTGGTAATTAGGGTGGTTTACCTCTTGTTCGAACTTCAGTCATAAATCCCACAAGCTCTCAGGCTTTGGCATAACGAGAAGAGGAAGAAGAAGAAGAAGAAGAAGAAACAGTAGAGGACACGAATTTTTGGGGTTTTAGAAATTTGGTGCTCCTCTCTCCAGCAGAATATGTATTTTAAGGAAATGGTTTTTTGTTTAGAAGTGGGGATAGCCTGGCCCAGTTTTATCTTTTTTGTTTGGGCCTTCGCCCCATTTAAAAAAAAACATATATATATTTTTGGGGTGCTTTATAAATAGAATTTTTGGTTTTAAAAATTGGACTTTGCTAAAATTTGATATTAGAAAAATAGATGATGAACTTTCATACTTAAAATGGTAGATGCTAGATGATACTATGATGGTGACATAAAAATGTATATAAGAATAAGGACATAGGATTAAAATAAACATTACTTAAATAGTATGGTTCTCCCGATAACTGTTAAAGTTAGTGAAAAATCTTTAAGAATCGAACTATAGCGAAAATAATTTAGAATTTAATGACATGTTTACTTATGAGTAATAAGTATCATAATCATTCCAATTCATTGTAAGGGCAATAGCAGTTTGGTTACTAGGGTTTTTCTTTTTCTTTAAAAAACCGCGGTCAAGCGGCTTTTACTATGAAACAGAGTTTTGAGGCTTTTATTCATGAAGGTTTTGAGGTTTTTCTCTACATCATCAAACATTTGCATTTTTTATATCTTCAATTACACCATTTTAGCCTAGACTTAAATTGATATTAATAGAATGGAAAAAGCCCCATACAAGATTTTGTGAACATATAAATATTAAATATCCATTATCTACCTCACAAAAATAACAGGATCCATCAACATGGCAATGAGGTAGGAGGCACAGTTAGAGTCATGCCAAATATATTTCTCAACCAACCCAACTGCAAAGATTGCCTGTGTCGACTGCTCACTCTCTTCTTCAACTCATCTTGTAGCCCTGTCTTGCCAATCAAGTCTATCAAGCTTTCACTGTAACCTCTCCTCTAACCCCCTGTGATGCGATCAGCATTATTATGGCTGGAAATTAAAGGACTAGATCAGGTGAAAGCATATTTCATGTACCAAAACGATCCAGTCAAATCTGATACACCA